AACGTCCAACTTTCCTTGTGTTTGTTAACGATCGCACATCGATTCACAGAGGCGCATGCGTATCTTCGCTGCAACAAGATATTGATCCGAGTCAATGTTTGGTCCTCGGAGTGTGAGACGTTCTTTGCCCACCCTTGCACTAAAGTCGCCCAGCACGATTTTTACATCGTGTCATGCGGCGCTCGTAAGTATCAATCAAGGATGTGTTGAAAAATTTCTCTTGAATGCGGATTGTGGCGAAACGCTCATACACCGGGGTGAATGCCAGTACTCGACGACGGAGTCGCTCTCTCACAACAAATCCATCACCAAATTTACGCTCCGTTATATGGTCGCTGTAGTAAATGTCACAAAACCTTACTCGCTTTCCTTCTTATCCCGTCCGTCGCACTTCTTAGGCGGCGGTGATGTCAGCATTTATTTTTCAACCAGCTGGACATCGGAACCTTTCCAATTAAGGGACCGGATATTCCAGTTGCATGCCCTCAAATTATTTAAATCATTTGCGGCGGTCGTCAACAGAAAGGGGGTATCTTATCCGAGGCTTTGTATAGTTTTTCGTTGAAGCGGATTCCTATGTGGCGGATCCCAAACCCCGCGTACTACATCGCCAGGCGAGTAAGCTCAAAGTTTTTTAATCATTTATATAGCGAGCTGCTTGCTTCAAACCGACGCACGCTCGCAGCCGCATCTCGGGTGAACAGACGCTGAAATTAGACTTTAGCAGACCCTTAAACCGAATAAGTCGGATTGGCTCCACTGAAGCTTCCCCTCTCATTAGCCGTGACCCTAGTCTCCATACGTAATGGTTACCGTATCTTGCACTAGGGTTGCTCACATTTCCAAGGCGACGTGGACGCCTCGAAACTGTAACAGCGTGCCCAAAAGCTTGACTACACCCTAGTACTGTCCAGTTAACACGACTGCTAGTTAACGTATTATTCCTTCAAAATGTAACGTACTAAGCCAGCGTTAAATGCAACCCATTCGTTCTGCAAGACGATCTACCAACCAGCAGGAAAAATAATGTAACTTTTCTATTTTTTTAAATTTTTCGTATGTCTACTTAGTTGAACGTCCTTCGGCTCACAATCAGGTTTTTTAATTTAAAATTCTATTATATGTTAAAAGCAAACTGTTTCGAAATACCAGAAAAGTATATTCAGTATCGTTTCAAATCCTCTAACTTTAATAAATCCTTTTATATTGAAATATTAAATATTTCTTCCCCTAAAATGTTCATATGTTTTAATAGATTAATTTTCTACTTCTAGCGAAGCCTCCTACTACTGCCACCTACCTACTTGCCAACGTTTCGAACGCTGTAATAACATTCGTACAACATTTCAATCATATTATCGACCCCGAGGCGGAGCAAAACATGAAACGAGCTGTGAAATTCGCTCGGAAGCTGGAAAAGAAAGTGTTGAAGTGCGCACCAACCCAAAGGGTATACTATAGTAACTACCTACACACAACAATGTACATTTACAATTTGTAATATATAATATGTATATATTATGTATGCATGTGTTTGCGCCTGAAAGCCTAAAAGTAAACCTAAATTAATGTTGCGCGACAATTAAGTTTCCTACTAAGAATAGCATAGCGTCTAATAAAAGAGATAAGATGCGAAAACATGTTAAGCGAGGCTTTATAATATGTATAAGTGTGAATGCAGATGTAACCTAAGTCGCGCAATGAAAAGTAAATTAGTTTTACGGAAATAATTTTACCCTCACATACATACTAGGTTATACATTTTATTTTTTCGAAAAAAAAATTAAATAAAATCCGTTTAAAAAATGTTTTTTTATTTTCGTGGGTGGTATATCTGCCACAACTTGAGCAATGTTGGTTTCCAAATGCTCAGCTACTAAATTTTATCCATATGAACACGGTCTTTCAAGTAACCCCACTTGTTAAACGTGTCAAAACGCACGATCTCGATGATCGTTCGTTTGTGTTGTATTCTACGTGGCTACAACTTGTTGAAACAAAATATTGCCCAAGCCAACAATTGAAGAACGCAATTATAGGCCAAATCAAGCCAGTTATCGTATTACCATAACGCTCCAAATTGATAGTGTAGTCCAAACGTAGTCGTTTGCAAAGAAAAACACGGTCCAAACATACCTCAGAACCAAAGATTATATATTCAGTTCTCCCTATTAAAAAGTTTTGCTAAAGAATATTTTGTTCGCACAATCGCCGCCCACTGCTGTTTTTTCAATCGCCCAATCGACGTACATATGTAAACCTTGTGAATGATCAGCTGGCTTCAGTTGTTGTGTTAGCTAGAATTTCTGGCGCTGTAGGCGTCCATGTGTTCACGCCATAATGTGTCATAGAAAAGTCTCGACTGTTGAGAACGTCGAGAGATATACACATTCGAGTCTTCGGCTACACTTCCACTTAAAGTGGAAAATTTTGAGGTGGAACAAGCAAAACATTGATAGCAGGCTTTACAATAGCTGCAACAGATCCTGGCTCTTCAACATTCTTTTTTAATATTTCACTAATTAATAGAGAAGTTGGACGATTTGCGCACCATCATTTCTTTTGTACGGTTAATACGNTAAAATAACTTACGGTTGGGTGTTTGAACAAACAATTAAATAAATAAATAAACTCACTGCATGCCATTTTATTAGTTTTATAAAATTAACTTAAATAAAAAATTCAGTTAAATTTTCTAATTGAGGTTATCTCTCGGCAGGAAATCTTAACCCATCCCGAAAGAACTTCTTTGGCTTTGAGGTCAAGAAAGAATCGAACTAATTTCTGATACCCTGTTCTGAAGTGAAACGCACTCCGGTGAGGGTATTCTGCATTGATCTGAACAAGTGGTAATCGGAAGGTGCTATGCTTGAGGCTATAAGGCGGGTGAAGTAGAACTTCCCACCCACAGTTTTCCAAATAGTTTTTAATTATTGACTCGTGTCTGGTCGCATATTCTGGTCGATTTTCCGCGAAAGCCTTTTTCAAACGAATCAATTGTTTTCTGTAGAGGTCCCCAGTGATCGTCTGGCCCGATTTCAATAGATCACAATGGGGCACCCCCTTGTGGTCCCTTGCCGTGCTTCTCATACGATCTCTGCGCTTTGGGTTATCATAATGAATCCATTTTTCATTGCCAGTGACAATCCGATGCAAAAATAGCTTCTTTTGAAGCAACATTTCCGACATGCAGAATCGACGTTTGACGTCTCTTGGCTCTTATTCATAAGGCACCCAATTTCCAAGTTTCTGGATGATGTAAACGGTTGCTTGATCACTTTACTTTTGCAAGTTCTTCTTGCGTCTGGCATGCATCTGCATAGAGCAATGTCTCCAATTCTTCGTCTTGAAATTTTTTTAGCTGTCCGTCGCCTAATTCGAAATTGTCACTTTTAAACCGTGCAAACCAATTTTGGCATGTTCGTTCGGCTAAACCATGGTCACCATAAACGTCCAGTAAAATACGATGGCTTTCGGTAGCACTTTTCTTCATGTTAAAGCAATGAAGAAGAACTCCCAACAAATTGTTGTTCACGCTAAAACAAATGATATCTACTGAAAACGACGCGAAATGACAGTACCTTTGAGATGAACACGACGGGAAATAATACTAGTAGAGCCTTCTCTTAGAAAACCACACGAATTAATGCATACACCCAATAAAATAGTTAACTACACTTGCTTTCCTTTAGACCTTGTGCGAAACCAATATTTAGCCGTTGTTTGCTAAAGTGACTATTTTGTCCAACGGGGAAGACAAAAAGCGACTTTCAGCCTCTTCTAAGAAATTGAAGAATATTAGAGGTTAAGTAAACTAAAAGGTGTGGCAACATAGCGAGAAGAGAATACTCCTATAACATCGATATTAGACGTATTTACAATGTCATCAGACCCGCCCTGAAGAAGACTCCGATGCCTTGATTCTCACATAGAGTATCAAATTTCAACAGAATCAAATGAATTCATGAGTTGGTTACCAGAATGGCAGATCCACAAGTGGGAAACCTTAAGCCAACGGAACTCATTAAGAAGTAACTAAGAGAAGGGTACATGACAATAATTTGTACGACAGGTAAAATAAGAATTCTAAATAACGCATACCGCAGCTCCTCCGAAGTAGGAAAGAGTTATAACGACCGTAAACGGCAACCACTGCATAACGCAACGAAGGCTGCACTTTTATAACTTTAAGGATGCCTGCAAGGGTGAACAGGTGCATATCGTGATGTTGGAGCAAAGGCGAAAGCGGATAAATTGTGACGCGATGGATTTACAATTACTAAATAAATGCGGAATAAAATTTGCATAGTATCGTCTTCCATTGGACAATATTACCAGATATTTATCTGAAACAAGCTTCTTTCGAAGCCTTGCTAACTCTGTATTGTTTTTTTTTTTAGAGAAGAGTACAAACATTCACTGTGATTACTTTCAAGTTTGTGAATGGTATAGGGCATATCCTTAACCTCAGTATGGTGAAGTTGCAAATCAGAGAAATAAGAAAAATGTTCTTAACTTCGTATGAATTTCAAAGTGACAGTTATCGAAGCTTATGATGATCTTATCTCGCAAGAGCTTGGAATCTACCAGCCGCATAGCAGCTTCAAAATGTTGTTTGTTGTAAAGTATTTCAATTTGGTGCAAATTTATGTGGATTCTTAACGGTAAAAGTTTTTCAATTTGTCGAAAACAAAAAATTTTTCTCAAAATGTTTCGTTTAGCTGTTGCTTTTGATGCTGCTTCTGATAATAGCATTTCCATACCGAGTGCATTGTTGTCAGCGTCATCATCGTCATCATCAGCGATGCCATTGCACTTGCCACCCTCTTGCTTTAGGTTTAAATACATTCTTTTCACACATCGTCACCACCAAACCTCAACTCATACACGATGCACGCATATGCACGTAAGTCTTTATTGCTTCTGCAGCCGTTATTTGCTTTTCATTTTCTTTTGAATTTGCGTTGTCGATCCTTCCCACTTCATTAATTTTATCGTACCTTCTTAAAAAATTTAAAATAATTTTCTGTAACTTCTTTACATTACGGTCATATATACCTGTACTTTCAATGGCTTCTCTGCATGTGACATGGTAAATGATATAGATCTTGATGGCATAATGACAGTTGCTTGTTGCCATCACATCGCCATCACAACAACAATGCTCAGCACAAACACACTGGGGAATTTAGTTGAGTTGAGTAGAGTTGCATTAGGCTGATATGAACTAAGTTATTGAGACTCAAAACGAGATGAGCAGAATTGATTTAGAGTGACCTGAATTAAGTTAATTTGAGCTCGATAGAATTCCTCTATCACAGCATGGTATCAACCAAGTAGTTGATGAATGGTTTACTTCCCTTTATACCAAGGTTAGCATTGCTTTGTAACATTCGGAAGACCAGTGTTCGAGTCCTGGTGTTATCAACATCTAAAATTAAAGTATTGTTTTTTATTTGCGGTGACCCATCGATAGGAATTTTCAGTATATTTCTGAGACGAAATGAAATTTTTATTGTTAGGTTGTAGTGGCCATCGTATTAGTTACCCTTAGGCTTGATGCCTCGTGAGCTCACAAATGCTTGGCCAAAAGATTTCGTTATTCAGCCATTTACATTCCATGACGGACTTCATTAGATCCATGACTTTGACGTTGGGTAGCTGTGATAGACCATCCAGTCCAAAGCAGGAGAGTCAAATAAAAAATGGATGTTCGTTTCCTCTTCCTTATCAGTGCTGCAGGGGCCCTTAGTCTCTCCGCATCTTCTCCTATTACATAGGGGCCTATTAGAATTCATATTACCTTGGGCAGTTCCTTCTCCCTTGTTATTGCGCCGAATTATGTTTTAGACGAGATTTTTCATTTGCCCACCGCTGCAACGAAGTCAAACTGAAAGGTGGGTAGTATGGCTCTCGCGCTCTCCACTGCTTCCTCTGTACTTAATACTAGCGTTAGTAGAGTGATCCCATCATATTTCTGTACTTACGGTCTTATACTTTTTAGCATATGTGATTTTAGGGGACTCTTTATGCACAGGGTGATGGCTGATAGTTACCATCGCTTTTGTGTAGTCACTTATCGTCAATATCCACTCAGACCAGCTCGTAAGACCTTGCAGATATCGGTTTCGTGACCGTGTCGAAGTTTGATGGGACCTCCTCACTTTCGTACTTAGATTCATCTGCCGTCTCCAGTCCGATCATCTAAGTAGTTCTAATTGAGCAGGTCCCCTTACTCTTACTACTGGTGGGTTCACCGTCCTTGCAAAAAGTCTCATTTCTTGGTTGCGCTTGCGTTATCCTTACATGTTTAGGTGCGGATGAATTTTGTTTCTGTTTGTTGGCTCGTCCTCCTTATATGGGCTTATACTCGTGACAGAAAAAGCAGGTGATTGATAGAGGGAGACGAAAGGGCATCACATCCATGGTTCAGCCATCGAGTTGAATATCACTATACCTTCATGTTCAAGTTTTAGATGTATTACCTCAAATTCTTATACTTCAAATGCTTGCACTGTTTGTCACCAAATTGGCAATCCGTTTGTTTCAAGACTGATGTTCGCTTACTGCTGAGCCTCTAGAGAAAATATGTTGCTGTTCAGTTAACTGTTAATCCTTCTTTCCTTTAAATGTCAGTCAAAGCTCCTCGCGGTTGACACAACCTCATTTCGATTTTTCTGTGTGAACTTTCTTTAAAAGGTTTTTCTTCTCCTTTGAGGCAATGACCCATATCTTGACGCAGATTTTGCTGCATATTGTCTGCAGCATTCGATGAGCCATGAAATTTTGTCAACGGTGAAATCATCGTCCTTCGTCCTGTTATTTTTTTAATCTTATTTTCTTTACTTTTACTCCTTCAGCGTCTCGGCGAATGCTCAACTACTTTCCTACTTCATATTTTCCTTTGCAATAATTACCGATTTGCATTTAGACCCATGCCCCATGAACAACTAACGGACCAGTCGATTACTGCCTCCATGATTCTCCGACTCCAGATTCTGTTTCCATTTTAACTATTACTTTTTATTGTTTGCCGTTTCTTGCATTATCTTATCTCTGAAGCGTATCAATTATGTCTTTTGCCTTTATTTCAATTTCCTCTACCCTCATTCCGCTGGCAAGCTCTCATCCACCTCAACGTTGTCAACAATCTCGCAACGGACGACAACGTCATTATCATCTCCAATGTCGTTTAGATATTGTTTGTATTTTCCTTTTTCTTTTGTGTGTTTTATTGGTCGTTGCAAGCTTTTTTTCTGTTATTATTTGCTTTTGGTGGGTTCCTGATCCCGTATAAAAATGATTGTGTGTGTGTGTGTGTGTGCAAGTCTCCTTATCCACAACTTTACAATACGGCGTTGACAAATTTTTTGTCTTTATGGCAGTGCTTACTTTGCATTTTTCATTTTAATTTTTCATTTTTTCTTGCTTTTCTCCTTCCCTCACAGATTGCGCTCTTATATTTGACAAACAATAAAATACGCAGAATAGCTCGACGCACAAACACTTCCGTAAATACTCAGCCTTCCACTTGCACAACAAGACAAACGCAACGCCCCAGTTCATATTATGACTTTTATGTGCGGCAGTCAAATGCGTCGGTTTGTATGAAGAAGAAAAAACCGTCTAACTCTACAAATAACGATCTCTCATCGCTGGCTGTGTTGCTGTTATTGCCACTGTGATTTGATTCCGTTGCAATTGCTATCACATTTTTTGTCTATTTTCTATCTATCCTACTTAATACAAATATAACTGATATTTGAGCGACCATTTCTTTTGTCAAGCTGCGATAAATAGCTCAGATCAAGTCAGGTATCTTGAGCTGGAGGTAAAAAAAAGTAGGTATATTACTTATCCAGCAAATACAGGGACCTACACTTTATTTAAAGCGGCCTCTGAATGGCCAGTGAAACCCTTGTGAGAACCTTTTTTTTTGCCCGAGCTACTCCTCCATTTTGTGGTTTTGGTCTACGTCACAAGTCATTGGCAAACGTCGCAAGTTATATGCTCTTAGAGAAGATTGTAGTGCGCGCAGAGTGCAAGTGTCGAAGTCAATTAGAAAATAACTTGTCTGTTTTAACGCAAAGGCCAACAATCTCAACTTAATTGTTAGGTTTAGTCACGCATGTTAAATTTTCCGACTGTTGTGCCAGAAAATACACTTGTAGCTCACCCGGACTCTAAAGTTTCCAAGCTGCAGAGACAAGAATCATAATTGCCTTCGAAGCATTCGTAGAGAGTATCTGTGCCTTCTCTTCTATCAAGGCGTGGTTGGTAATTAACGATACGTTAAAGAACATTGATTTGGTGCGGATTGTGGTAAAACGCTCATACAGTGGGTTGTAAAGCAAGACCCGGAGACAGAATTTCCCTCCACCCACGAATCTGATATCAATTTTATTGCCTTCATATGTCACAAGACATCAAGAAGCTGGCCAATGCAGGACATCTCAAGTTTAGATTATATTCCCTCGTACTTTTACGTTAGGGGTCATTATAATGGCTCCTCTCAGCCGAGACTTTACCAGACCTAGAACCGTACGTATTGGGTTGCCCTAAAAGAAACAGGCAATTTTTTTTAAAGTAAATAAATACATTTTTTAGATAAAATAATGAATATTAATCAAGTATGGAATTTCCACTTTGTTGGATGTCTTTTCGCCGCCTTGCCGGCAGCATCAATGTTTCACGCTCATAGCACTTCTGGCAGTTATCTGCAAAATACTGAACCAACTGCGATTTTATATCTTTGTCATTTTCGTTAGATTTACCATTCAATGAGATCAGCAAGTAACGAAACAAATTGTAGTCTGACGGTGCACATGTATCAACTGTTCCCAGCCAATCGCTCTCAGTTTTTGGCGAGAGACCAAAGATGTGTGCAGTCTAGCATTGTCCTGGTGGAATATGGCACCTTTACTGGACCGATTCCGGTCGCTTCTCCCTAATGGATATATTAAATTTCTTCCTTTGATGAATATCAGCATTGGTAGTGGTTTGTGGCGCCTCATCATGCTTAAACAATGATTGGTTGACGTTATTGTAAGCAATCCACTTTTCATATCCAATTATGATTTTCTTCAAAAACGGATCATATTCATTGCGTTTAAGATGCTTATCAGAAGCGTTGAATTGGATTGTTAAATGAATATCTTTAAATTTATGTGGTACCCAAATATCAAGTTTTTCATCAGTTCCAGACGTCGTATATGATCATGAGCGGTTGATTTGGTATACTTAACTTCTATCCAATCTCACACTCAGTTACATGACGATCCGATTCATTTAAAGTCTTTATATAATCATCATTTGGTCCAAATTCCAAATGTCAGGCATGCTTTTTTTCGGTCAATTTGGCTGGAATGTAAATGTATCAATGGTCCAAAGTATACCACTGTAAGCCATTTTCTTGAAGACACCCCTAAAGATTTAGAAAACGGCATAACAATATCCGAATTATTCATTGAATATATGAAATTAGCTAAATTGAATCATTCTTTTCTAAGCTATTTTTAAACTTTTGTAGATTTTTTAGATGGGGTGTAGTCAGCTTCCTGGTATGCTGTTACAGTTGCGAGGTTATACTCAATTCCTACTCTTGCGTCCACGTCGCGCACCCTGGAAACCCTTGTGCAAGATGCGGTAGCTTACTCGCCTGGCGAGATTGTGCGCTGGGTCTGGGACCCGCCACATAGAAACCAGCTTCAATTAAAACTTATACAACGACAAACTCCCTTTCTGTTGACAACCCCCAAATGAATTAAGGATAAGGATTTGAGGACATGTACCTGAATTGTCCGGTCCCTTAATTGGAAAGGTGTCGCTGGTTGATGTCCTCGTAAGAATAAAGGCTGACATCACCGCCATCCAAGAAGTGCGATGGACATACAAGGACAAAAGTGAGTGTCTTGTATAAAGGAGCGTAAATTTGGTTTCGGATTCGTGGTGGGAGAGAGATTCCGTCGTCGAGTGCTGGCATTCATCCCGATGGATAAGTGTTTTGCCACAATCCTCATCAAAACGGAATTTTTGAAAATGACGCTGATTTGCGCCAACGCCCCGTCGGAAGAAAAAAAAAATACGTCAGGCTACTTGGCTGTACCCTGATCAAAGAACAGAAAACCAGATCGATCATGGTATACGGGACCCGTGGGACGGCATCGCAAACACTCTACGTTCAGCTGCAAACGAAACTATTGGATTTCGTAAAGGTCGTAAAAACAGCTGGTACGATGAGGACTGCCGTGTCGTAGTAGATAGAAAACACACTGCCTATCTCGACCACAAGACGAGCGGGTTTGGATAGATACCGAGAGATGAAGAGGAAGCAAGACGCATCGGCAGACAAAAAAAGGAAGTGGCCGAGATGAGTGAGAATAAAGAGCTTGAAAAGCAGGCCGACAAGGTCAACGCTCGAATATTCTACGAGAAGATTCGACGGCTTGCAGAAGGTTTTAAGACCAGAGCATACTCTTGTAGGACACAAGTAGGTGATCTATCGAGTATATGGAATTTAAGGATGGAATACTTCTCCAAACTGCTGAATAGTAGTGAAGTGTGGCGTTCGAAAACAAACGAGGTTTCAGACAGGGTGACTCTTTGTCGGGTGATTTCTTAATTTTCGTGCTAGAGAGAATAATAAGAGCTGCAGAGCTGAATAGAAAAAATGCAATCTCCTAAAAAAGCTTACAACCACTGGCGTACGCCGGTGGTATATCATCACCATTTCATAAGCTTTTCCTCCTTCTAATACAACTTTCTGCGCAACTACATTTGCAAAATGCCTTAAATTAATAATAAAAAGAAAACTGTAATATGAGAATCATCATTTAAAACGTCCAAAAGGAAACCTAAAAGTTTATAGGTGTGTAACGTACACTTATAAACAAAGTGAATAAACGCTGAACTTTTTTTCTCTTCAATATTTAAATATATTTTTGTTATAAATAAAAGCATGGTGAAGAGTTTAAGGATCTTTCTATAATAAAAATACATATATTTTAATTATACTATAAAAAAAGATACACATGTATGGCAACTTAATGCATACATATTTCTTAACATTGTAATGATCATTTAATTAGCTGCTTCAACATTATTGCTGATCTTCGTGAAGGCCTTCGACGATCATCATGCCGTAAGGGAAAAATGTAAGTGCACTTCCTTCATTTTTATACCAATTATTATACCATTCATACAATATATACCATTTTTTCATATACATTTTGTATTAATCGCTTGCCTGACAGAATTGCATTTTATTACCTTACAGTAAGAACATTCATTGACTCTCTTGCTTGCTCATTCGCAGCATAGGATGCTCACCGATCGGCTGATCTTGTAGGTTAGCTACATCGGCTCACATCATCTGCAATGGAGCGGGTAGAGTAAATATGTAAAAACACAACCGTTCTGCAAAATTTTACAGAGAGTGCCTAGGGTTGCCATGCATCCTTAGTAAATTTCACATGTACTGAATTTCTTGATATTTTTTTATCATTAGTTTTCTTAATGTTATCTATATTATTGTTTTTGTGTTATTTCAACAGTCCATTTGCATAAATTACCATAAACATAAATTAGTTTTCTTTTCTTATGGGACTTTGCATATTATTTTCGCTCATCGCAAAGTCAAAGAAGGGTGGGTTAGAGAAGTGCATATCTTAATAACGCCTTTAAGATATAACTATATATTTCTTCTGCTAGCCGGTTGGTCAAGTAGCTTTGCTGATTTTATTTGTTCTTTAGTTTTCTTCACAGTATGTCACGATCATAGAGGGTATTTTATTTGTTTGTATGATTGGCCTTGGCCCATTTAATTTTAGAGCAGATGTTGTATTCAATTTATTTATTTTGTTGTGAAACAAGGGAGTCTAAAATAATCGTTTATGTGGTTATGTGCAAATAGTGGAAGTTGAAGCATCAAGAATCCCCCATCCCGACTGCTAGCTAGCGTTTCAAAGGCTCCGGCTCGACTCTTCTTTTATTCCTATAGAACCCGGTTTTCATTAACCATGCATGCTACAAACTATTTTACAATTGTGCATTACACTATTGACAGTCATAACTTTGAAGTCGTAGATAATTTCGTCTATCTCGGAACCAGCATTAATACAAATTATAATGTCAGCTTTGAAATGCAGCGCAGAATTCCTCTCCCGACGAACCAAACTCTACAACTCCCTCATAGTTCCCGTACTGTAAGGAGTTTTCGAGAAAAAGGTTCAGCGAACCAAGAAGCA